ACCACCGAAAGGTGACAATGTCCAAGAGGGACTTTCCAGTAGTGCCCCCTCCACCTCCAGTGGATATTCATTTGTCTCTTTCAGTGCTTGTGCTAAAGTCAGTTACATTCCTACCCCCACCCCCCATTTTTTAAATTAGTTTGAGTCCATCTGGATATTTTGGCTGCTCTTTCTTTTATTGTTGTGCTACTGTTTTTTTTATATATAGTTTTACTGTGTTTAGTGTACACTGCTCTGGACTCTTGAGGGAGGAAGGATATAAATTATTTTGAATAAAGAAGGGATTCCTTCAAAACAGCTTTGCCACATATTGATGGTAATGTGGCACAAGCTAGGCACATAGAGATGGTAATGTGGCACAAGCTAGGCACCCTAGTCAAAAGGGAATTTGCTTGCCAGCCCCCTAATATTTGCTGGAGGAACAAGTTGCCCAAAATTGCTGAGGCTGCAGCACCAACCTCTTGCCTCCTGGGTCAGAAAGGAAAGGAACCAACTGATCAGGAAGGCAACCAGAATAAGCAATACAGGAACAGACACATCCTTTCCCTTGCTGAGCTGCCATTCTCTCCCTGCACCTTCTCTCTCTCTCACACACGCACAGCCAAAGTATCATTAGGCACAAATTTGGGAATAGGGAACAAAATGCTTCCCAAAAGGTAGCCGAGTTGTGCTTCTAAAGGACCAAGGGAGCTAAAGCAAGCTGCCGCTATTCCTGTGGATTCCAGAACAGCAGTGGAAAAATATGGGTTGTTCATATTATACAGGGAAACTACAGCTACACCTCCCTTTCCCACCCATCACAATGGGCAAACTTCCCCATGCCCACGGCCTCCCCCAAGAACAACAAAACTAACCGAAGGGAACCCCAGCATCACAGCCCACAAAAAAGGTTGCAAAGTTTGTAGGAGGTGGGATCTTCACCCAGCCCTACCTAAGTAAGAGGGACAAATAAATATTTCCCTTAGAACAGGGTGGGGAATCTATTGCCCTTTCGAAGTTTCTGGCCTACAAGTCCCATTATCCCTGGCCATTGCCCATGCTAGTTGAGGTTGACAGAATGCAACCCCACCTAGGAAAGGCTGTGGGCTTGTTCCTAGACCACCCGGCATCCTAACCAGTAAGACCTCTTCACCACATCCAACAAACCGCTTCTAATTCCAAACACTCATTCGCAACCTGCTACCTGTCACCATGGTACTTGATGAAAAGCAGAAATAGAACTAGGTGCCATCAACGGTACCAAAAAGCCACAGATTATCTCACCTGCTGGTTCTGCATAGCTGTTAAATAGCAAAAGATGCAAGGTGAAGCCTTATAGCAATGACCACAGGGTAGAGCAACAGTTTGAGTACCACATTCCAAGACCTATGCTCCATAATAATAGGAGGAAGAGGAGGAGGAGGAAGAGGAGGAGGAGGAGGAGGAGGAAGAGGAAGAGGAAGAGGAAGAGGAAGAAGAAGAAGAAGAAGAAGAAGAAGAAGAAGAAGAAGAAGAATTTATACCTCGCCCTCCCCAGCCAAGACCAGGCTCAGGGCAGCCAACACCAAATATATAATACATTAAAAACACAAAATCAAACGATTGATTAAAATACAGTTCAAAATCACACTTAAAATCAAAATAACATTAGGTGGGAACCCATGAATCACAACTGTAGGGGTAAGGAATATTAAATGTTCACCAGGCCTGGCCACCCGTGCTGATCCCATGTGAGCCGATACAGCGGTTCTCAACCTGTGGGTCCCCAGATGTTGTTGGACTACAACTCCCATCATCCCTGAGCTCTGGCCTTGCTAGCTAGGGGTGATGGGAGCTGTAGTTCAACAACATCTGGGGACCCACAGGTTGAGAAAGGCCGCAATAGAAGGAGCCAAGAGGCCACTTACGTACAGGGTCCCATAGAAAGAGGAAAGAAGAAGGGAGGGGGTCAGACTGGGCCTGGACCAAAAGCCTGGCGGAACAGGCCCCGTGGAAAGATGTCAGATCCTGCAGGGCCCTAGTCTCTTGTGACAGAGAGTTCTACCTGACTGGGGCCAGAAAAGTGAGACCAGAAAATGACCAGAAACAGAGAGAGGGAGAGAGGGAGAGAGGGAGAGAGGGAGAGAGGGAGGGAGAGAGAGAGGGAGACTCCCTAGCTGCACGTCATCAAGGTAGATCAGAAGGATACCATGGTTCATGGTACTGAGTGCCATAGAGGGGACCATGATGTATTGTATGATCATCTTACAGTGCAGGACATCCACCAAGTGCAGTGCAAGTCATTGTGCAAACATCTGTTGCAAACAGGTTGTAAACCAGACTGATACGGGATCCTAGATTATCATAGCTAGCAATGAAGGCTTGAAGCTGGGCTGCCACACACTGGAGCATTTTGCCAAAAGACAACACTTCAGAGACTGGGCAAAAGTTATCAGTGGAATCTGAAGGGGGGCTGCCACAACCACTCCCAAAGCCACAGGAAATTCCCCTTTCTTCAAGGAGGCACAAACAACCTCCACTTGCCAGCACCCCACAGCCAGGTGAGGCAAACATGCACCAGGTAACATGCCCACATCCTCAGGCTGCAGAAATTGGAAGTTTTACACATAAATGTGACCAGTGCAAGAACATCCAGAACCCTATCTGCAATTAATGTAAAGTCAAAATGCAAACAATATGCAAAGCACTTTGAAAACAAGCCACCAAGGGCACAGCTTGGTTGCCAGAATATAGAAGTCCCATCACCACCCAGAAAGCCTTCACTGGCCAGCACTGTACCTACACAATAATGGTGGGAAAACACATACCATGTTGCAGGTAGGGTGACAAAGGTGGCTCTAAAGCATGTTCTACAACCTGTCCTATTGTATTAACCCGAGTCTTTCTCTACTGATGCCCTAGTCAGCATCAAAGAGTCCCTAGAAAACATCATGTCAACCAAATAAGCCATTTCCGCATTCCAGAGGGCAAGCAAGGCTTTAAGAAAATTTCCCCAAAGCCATCAGGAGCCCATATAGCCAGTCTCTGGGAAGCCATTCTGACAAGTCTTAGAGGTTTTTGGAAGCCCTGTAACCCCAAACCAGGGATTTGGCAAAGGGACTAAAGTCCCTTATTAGATCAAAGGATGGCTGAAATCCGTCAGGAAAACGTAAGGTCCTCAACATACCCCCAAAACAAAACACTAGCTCAGGAAGAGACCGCTATGCCACTGGATGAGCAATACGCCAACAGTATCATGACATGGGATGATATTGGAGTACTTTGACCCCGGGATAACAATTTGTTTTATTTCCACCACCCCCACCCCCAAAAAAGTGTCTCAACTCCATTGGTTCATATCAGGCTTGCTTTTCTTTGTTTAGTTGTAGAGGTATGCGGATGGAAGCAGGATGACTCCATTAGCTCTGCTGAAAGACCTTCTCCATCTGGCTTCTCACCTGGCCTGGCAGAAGCCCTTCCATCAGTCAGCGGCAGGGGGAAAGATGAGAAGCAGGAGCACTCCATTGCATCTCCTGGAAGGCTAGTTCCATATGGATCCTCCCCTCCCTAAACTGTTTCCATTCTAGCTGGTCATAAGAACTATTATGTAACTCAGAACTGCTGTCTGAGTTTTCCAGTTTTCTTCTTCCCCCCCTGTGTCTTTTACACTCTAAAAGACAAAGACACAAATGAAAAGCTTGCAGGCAGGGGCTGTCTTGTTTTTATTAATTGCATGGAAGCTGCTCTGGGAGCCTTTTTGGCCAAAGAGCAGGACAGAAAGTGTTTCAAACAAATAAATAAAATTTGTCTATTTCACGTCTCGCTGCCAGATGATATAGAACATGCTACTCCGGTGCTGGTTGCAATTTTTATAAAGAAGGTGGGGGGAATTTCCACATGACTAGTTGCACCAGAATGTGGAAAAGGGGGGGGGTGAACTTGCAAAATTAACAGCTCCAACTCTACCTCTGGTTTGCTTTTGGATTTAGGTCCAGGTCACCTACTCATATTATTTTATGCTGGCATAGCTCTGCTGCTGGCACAACTCTGCCAGTAGAAGAATAAAAAACAGGAAGGGAGGGTAATCATAGGGAAAGTGGTCCATGGGTTCCCTTGGCTAGCCTCCTAACAATAACACTACAAGTTTTCTAGGTCCTACATCTGGGCATTGGCCAGTCAAAAGTGTGTTGATTGGCAATGTGTGTAGATCCACAGGGCATATTGACTTCTGTACTCTTCCCGCCTTCACCACAGATGTTCGAGTGCTTGAAGTCACCACAGCAGGCCTACTGCATCTGTGGGGCAGGGTGGCAAAGCGAGAGGGTGCCCACTTGCCACACACGTGTGTTTGTTCCTTCTTTGCCAATACAGCGCTCCACGATTTGTGGGAGTCAGTGATGTCAACATGGATGCTGTTAGGGAATGGCTAGCAGGAGTGTTGTATACTGTGTTGCTGGATGTGCTGCAATTTCATGCTCAGGTTAACTTCATGGGGCAGACAGGATCTAGGCAGTGCTACCCCCAGGCCCACTGAACCGCCTTGTAAACAAACTTTGCAGCTCAAGCACTCCTGAACTGCATGTCACCCTAGAGTTGTCATCCAACCAGTGCTTTACCAGTCAGATAAACAAAACCAATATACTATCACTAGCAGGGTCAGAAAACTCCCCCTTTTGTCCTACTCTGACAACTGACTTTGTCAGCCTTTTGCCAAAAGGTGCCAGGTTCTGTTCTAAGCCACAAAATTTCACCCCTGAGTTATTCCCGGGCTTCAATCCAGTGATCCAGAATTTTAGAAATCCAAACTGTCATCCCTGAGACCCTTGGTTTGGGCATTTGAAATACTGATACTGGCCCCTAAATATCTTGATATTTTTGCCATTTCTTTACAGGATTAGCGCCCACTAATCCGAAGCCATATCCAAGGAATCGGAAAAATAGCTGCAAGCACTGCAGCTTGAAAACATTAGAAATCAGAGCAGATAAAGACCGTCATCTGTGTCGTTAAAAAAAGATGCTTACGTGGAGCAGCTTTTCCTTACCTCAAAGATGTTTGATGATTCATTGGCATACTGATTGGAAATGATTTCCGATTGGTCACTGTACCACTTGAGTCCTCCCAGAAAGCTGTCGGCATCCAAGTCATTCACATCTAATTCAGAGAGGTCAAGTTCTGGAAGTTCTGGGCAAAGAGGATGGTCTTCACCAACCAGAGCAGCACACTGAAAAGAGGGGAAGGGAAGATACAGAAACGCTTTCATTAATTAGAGGAAACTGTGAAGAACAACAGCACGTGAGAAGAATTATATCTCCGTTAACTCACTTATACCACCCAGCAGGTCACTGGAGTTAACTTCATTTTGGGGGAGAAAATGCTGACTTGTATCAAAGGAACTTGGCACAGGTGAGCAACAGAGCGTGTTTCTGTCTGTGCCGGCCTGCTTGCTGGAGAAAGTCTGACCTTTGCCTTCTAAACCACCCTCCTGCGCTGGGAACAGCCACTGTCTTTTTATTCGCAGCCCCCAAAGTGCAGAAGTCGTTTAAAAAGCAAAGAGGGGAGGCCACGATTTCTGATCTCTCAGTTAAGCCAGAATGAGGCATTATTAGAAGATGCACGGCAACAACTGAAGAGAGTAAACCTGTGCCTCTCTCCCTTAGTAACTTCTAGTTTATTTTTAAGGTATAATATTGCACGCTGACAGGGCCATGCTCCGGATGTTGGCTCAGAGGTAAGACCCATGGAATTCAGTTGGACTTACCTAGGAGTAAACATGCAAGCGGATGAACTCTGAGGTTCCCCACCCCTATACAGTGGTACCTCAGGTTACAGACACTTCAGGTTACAGATGCTTTAGGTTACAAACTCCGCTAACCCAGAAATAGTACCTCAGGTTAAGAACTTTGCTTCAGGATGAGAACAGAAATTGCACGGCGGCGGCAACAGGAGGCCCCATTAGCTAAAGTGGTACCTCGGGTTAAGAACGGACCTGCAGAACAAATTAAGTTCTTAACCCGAGGTACCACTGTACAAGGAAGCCAACGAAGAGAGCAAGGAGATGGCTGTCACGCATTTGTTCCTCTTTAAACTACATATCCACCAGGAAAGGAGGGGAGATCTGGGGCTGCCATTTCCAGCAACAGACGTGCCATTCCAGCAAGCTCTGGACTTAGCATAAGGAAGGCCCAGAATCCACAGCAGAAACTACGATGCAAAAAATCAGCAGGAAAGACAGCAACATGAAATTACACATCTCTGTTGGCCCCACACACATCAACCTGCCAAATGGTTCCAGAATTATTAGCCGTAACAAAACTCTGGGTAAACTACTATAAGCTAAGCTACAACAGCCTCATAATAAGCAGATTTTGAAATATTTCTCATGACACACAAAAAAAGCCAGGCACCTGCCAAGTAATGACCAAATATCTATAAATGTCACATTCCATTTATGGAGTCTCCCAATCTATAGCTTCACTTTCCGGCTAGGAACACAGTCTCAGACCATATTTCTGTTGGCTAGCATCTTGCCATTCACAGGCCAAACTTGACAGCGCCACTAATTGGCTTTTCATAGCTTATCCTCAGCCAGAGATAGGAAAGACATGGCCTCATTTTCACAACAGTCTTGGGAGGTAGGTCAAAGCTCTTCCTCTTTTGTGGACTGAGAACCAGAATAGGGCAACAGCAATGAGACTAATAAGGCTACCTCCAGGTTTGGGAGATGGCAACCCAACACTGCCTTGCCCATCTGCAAGCATGCAAACAAGGGCGACACCTTTCCCCTCCATTATTTGAGCTCCTACCTCTACTAGATCCACACCCATTGCACATCATTGATACACCTCTTTCCTTCTGGGATATACAGCTACTTCTTCACACTAAGTCTAGAGAGTATTCTACATCCAGGATTATTGAAATGGGGAGCTATTTAGGGAGGCCTGTGTGTGCACCCCATAGTCACATAATCAACCACAAAAAGTTTTCTAAAATGCACCACTTTTTCTGAAATTTTGATCATGGATATATCCATGAGTGGGACGCGAGTGGCGCTGTGGGTTAAACCACAGAGGCCAGGACTTGCCGATCAGAAGGTTGGTGGTTCGAATCCCTGCGACGGGGTGAGCTCCCGTTGCTCGGTCCCTGCTCCTGCCAACCTAGCAGTTCGAAAGCACGTCAAAGTGCAAGTAGATAAATAGGTACTGCTCCAGCAGGAAAGTAAATGGTGTTTCCGTGTGCTGCTCTGGTTTGCCAGAAGCGGCTTAGTCATGCTGGCCACATGACCTGGAAGCTGTTCACTGGCTCCCTTGGCCAATAAAGCAAGATGAGTGCCGCAACCCCAGAGTCGGTCATGACTGGACCTAATGGTCAGGGGTCGCTTTACCTTTTTTTATCCATGATTGGGCCTGTACATTTGCTGTGAACTGCATTTGCCCCTTTTCACCACCACCCCCCCCAAAAAAATATGAATTGGCTTCTTGCCATGTGGTAAGAGACAATGTATGGGTTGCAAACAGCTTCTTCAACAACCCTTACCATCTCAAGCAATCATTTTTGTTGCTATGGTAATCCACCTAGTCCAGGCCAGGACTGAGTAGTTATGTGTCCTGGCAATGATAATAAGAACACCAGGGTGTCCTATGCAGGATAAGATTCTGTGGCATGTATCCCATCTGTCCAATAGCTGGGCCAGCCAATCCTGCAATGTCTGTGTCATACATAACTTGAAGTGGTGTTGGCTATCAGATGATTATCTGGTGGTTGCTCCCACAACACTCCCAGCAATGTACGCATCTTCTCTTAAATGAACATGGTGCCATTATTTACCGTACAAGGGAAAGCGTTGCCACTGGAGGCTAGTGTAGGTGTCACTGTATGTTCACTCCAGTCTTAGTGGGTGACAGTTGCAAATGTCACTGGGATTGTGCAGGAGCAACCATGAGATGACAGTAGCACAACTTCTCCAAGTGCCTTATACATGGAGTCCAAAGCCCATGTTTGAGCTGCAGTATGGGAAAAGATGTTTAATGTTACCTAGCCCATAGCTCGGTTGTAGTGTGTATGTGCTGCATACATACATTCGCTGACATAAAGAGTCCACAAAGCTAGGAAAGACCTCCATCTGAGACCTGGTGAGGAGCCACCAAACTGAAGAGACAAGAAGCAGCAAGGTGGACCAGTGACGGCTCAATGTAAGGCATATGTATGATTTTATTGATTCAATTGTTTTTGTTTTTACATATTGATAGCTTATGCTTAAATCTACCCCGGGATCATGGATTGATTCCACTACCCATGAAACTCATTCTTGCTCTGAGAACATATTGCTAAACTATTAGAGCTCCGTTTTACAGAGATGCTTGAACGTGCAATTGTATGTTTTAAGAATCTTATCACTTCCATTCTGATCTTGCAGGGATTGACATTTGGCTCTGGCAAGTTTTGCTAGGTAACTGTTACATATGGAGAATCATTGCAAAGCAAACCTTGTACTAATACTGCAGCACATTCCACTAATACTTTTAGGCAGCATATATTTCCGTAGATGTCTCAGCATCATTTAATTTAGATATCAGGCTAACTGAAGATACATGACTTTTTACAACGTATCCACAACTGTACAGCAGTCACAATGTGGGTAAGTAAGGCTTCAGCTACAGCCTTGTGGAAATTTGCTTTTAACTACATAGCCACAAACACAAATCCTACAGAGTTTAATGGCACAAAACTAAACATGGTGCTGAACTTTGAAACTGAACTAATTGTGACTCAAAAGTGCTTAACTTTTGCTGCATTGTATCCATAGTATATCTTCAGCTTTTATTTTATTTTTTTCTGCATAAGCCAGAACTCCCCTGTGTTGGCACCCATATGAATTAGCAATTATGTTGTTAAAAGGTGACAAAAGGTAGTCAGTTTAACAATGAAGGTTTCCAGCCTTCCACTTTGCATTCCCTGGATTTATCTGTGTCAAATGCAGCAGCCAAACCCCCCCGCGAAAAATGCACATGGATTTCAGATGCCACGGCCTGTCAATCACCCTCAAAGATGGTATAGTTTCCCTTATTTATAATCTTGCTCAAATGAGGTCAATTAAGGTGAATGTATCAGTAACCTCAAAGCACCCTTCCCCCAGCAAACATAGGAATTCAATGTCTGTCATGTCACACTTCAACAGCTAAGTGCAGGTTTCTTGCTAAAGTTGGACTTCAGAAAAATAAACTTCCTGAAACATTTGACAGGCAGTCCCTGAAAGAGCGACTCCAGCACTGCATATTCTGCCTTTATGTGTGACAACCTAATTGCAAGGCATGCTTCGGAATAGAGAAACAGGGTCAATAGACTTGGAGCAGCTGGAAAAAGGCTACAATTTACCATTCCACTTTCACTGGTCAAGCAGGACGATGCAGGGAATCAGACAATAGGTGCATAGAAAGGGAAACTTAAGGGCTGGAAGGAGAGTCTCTGTTCTTTATTACTATTCTTTGAACCAGTACAAAGCTGTAACAGTTCAAGGCCTACCTGAGTTATACACGCACATCTGTAGTATATGGCAAACTTGAAGAAAAGGTGGGGGAAACACACACAAAAAACGGCATAGCAAGAGTGGTGATGAAAACTGTTTTTCTCCCCTTAGGGGAAAAATAAAAGGCTTCCCCACTCTCTATGTTTCCAATCCTAAAGTTGGCAAATGTTATAATGCAGAAATGACCTTTTCTTGATGCCCAAATGAAATCTGTGATCTCATTAAAGGATAATCTAGGTCTTTGCCTGAAAAGGTAGATTCTCAGCATCACCCCCCCAGGTTTGTGTTGTGGAGGTCAGTGGCTTAAAACTGATGCCACAGACATCCAAGGTGCCGTGCTGACCGCTTTACTACTTTTCATTTGTAAAAATAGATTCTCATTCTCTCGCCATCCCTCTGCACTGTCTAGTTAAAACTGGATGGGTTCTCTCAATAGGTACACATTTTTCAAAAAGGCCTGCAGTGGCCATTTTGAAGCAATATAAGAAATAACTGTTCTATTTGGGGCAGGGGGTTTAAAAACAAAGGAAGTCTTCTCTTCGCAGCTTTCATTTCTCTCTAATGACCGGAGTGTCACTTTTTAAAAACAAATGGAATATCTGAAGTGAGGCACGCTGACTCTTGCCAATGTTGACCTGATAATAAAATCAATGCTTCTGGATATGGAACCACACTTCTAATCTGAGAGGCATTAGTAG